CTGGTGATGGGTATTAAAGAGGGCACATTCTGCATGGAGCACTGGGTGTTATGCACAAACAATGAATCATGGAACACTTCATCTAAAACTAATGATGTAGTGTATGGTGATTAACATAACATAATAATTAAAAAAAAAAAAAGAAATACAGGTTCGAGATAGAAGGAAGGGGGCATTTTATCTCCTAATACTGTAGGCCATAGATAAAGTTAATGGACAAGTTAGAATCTGGATGACTAAAGAAGAAACCTCAGACAGACCCTTAGACCCAGTGCTTAACAAGAAAAAAATTGGAGGTTAAGAACAGGGTCTCACTATATAGCATTTGTGGAATATAAATAAGACGGGTGGGGTGGGGGGAAGGAAAAGGAAAAAAAAAATAAGAGGAACTAGTGAACCCAAAGAATCTGATCCTCATCATGGCAGAGAGAGCCCATTAGTGGGGTGTCATCCAGAACCATAGTATTCTTACCTAATCTGTGGATGTGGGGAGAAACTGGGTGCCTGCATCAAACCTGAAAAGACTTCCAGAAGGTGGACCAGGGGCTTTGGTCCCAGATATCAACCCCATAAGCACAGACATGGCCTAACAGTAACATAGCAAAGAATTTCCAGTCTTTGCTTTGTCATTGGATCAGTGGTGAGATAGATGCATTTTAGAAAGAACTGACAAGACCTCAGGCTGTATTAATTGTTTTTAATGGTTAATTAATTTATGTGACAACTAATTTTTTTTTAAAAGTCGAGACTTGCGTCCTTCAAGGGAAAGATGGCTAAGAGGAGAGAGATTTGAAACCATAGGTTATGAAAAGGAGTTAAGAGTAACCGAGAACATTTAATCCTCAGGAGAGAATGTTTAGATGGGATTCGATGTCTGTCTTCAAAGATCTATCTCTAAGGTTATCTCTTGGAGAAAGGATGTGACTCACTCCATGTTAACTGCAGAGGGCAGAGCTGGGACCAAAGGTTACAAGGAGGTGGATTTGTCTAATTGCTTTGCAAGAGGAGACACAGAGTTCCCTATTTACTCTTGGAACAGTTATGACAGCTAACATTTACCGAGTGCTCATGATGTCTGCACTACAGTTAAAATCTTTATATGCCTTAGCTAAAAAGTGTGGATCAAATTCTTAGTTATCATTACAAGTGCCTCAGAGCATCATTTAGTAAAGGCTCCATTTACTGCCTGCTTATTAAATTACTTCATTTTGATAGTTACCCTGTTTACTGTTATTATATCATCATTTTACAGATGAAGAAATAGAGAAGGTAAATTACTTTTCTGGACTCATGCTGTTTTAAGTTATTGGCTTATAGTGGTGTGGACCCAAGTCTTCCTGCTACTAATATTGCCTCTAGAGGTTATGCATATAATAAGAGGTCAGATCAGGGCTTTTCATGAGAAATATAAGCCAGTAATGTGAGCCACTAATGAGAGGCATATGTGTAATCTCACTTTTCTATTAGCCACATTAAAAATGTAAAAAGCCTGGTTGGCTCAGTTGGTGGAGCATGGGACTCTTGATCTCCTGGTTGTGAGTTTGAGCCCCATGTTGGGTGTAGAGACCACTTAAAGAAATGGAATCTTAAAAAAAATTTTTTTTAAATGTAAAAAGAAACTAGTGAAAATATTTTAAATTATATATATTTACATTTTAATCCAATACAATAACCCAACTGACTCATCACATCTTAAACTATTATCATTTGTTGAAATGATGTCATCAACATAAAAATTATTAACAAGCTATTTTACATTCTGTTTTTCACACTAAGTTCTGTGTCCGTTCTACACAGAAGGGGGACATCTCAGGACTAGCCACATTTAAAGTGTTCAAGAGTTGCTTGGGGCTCTTGGCTGCTAATGAACAGCCAGCACAGGGTTAAAATTTAAATCTCCTTGGGGGAGGGGGTGGGACTGCAATTTAAAGAGGAGTTTTGCCTTCTACCTTAGATTCCAGTGCCTCCCTGCTCCAGATTTATCTCCTTTGCCAGTTTGGAGGGAATGCATTAGTAACCGCCTTTGTCTTTTTCGGCAGAGCCAATGTAGATATTTCTGATTTGGGAGAGGACAGGTGTTTCTCCTGCAACCTTACAACGACTGTTATTTCCCTCCTGGTAGCTATGCTGGGAGTTAGTTTTTTATTTTTGCTTTGAAAATCACTGAAGTAGGTTGCATTAAATCGTGTACTCCAAATACGAAACTGGGGGTAGAAAGTCTTGCTTTATGCAAAGTTATGCCAAGTTAGGGAGTCCCCGGCAATTAGAAATAAACCGTGTAAATGCATAGGTGACTATAAGAGGGAAGGAAGGGTTCTGTTATTTTCGCCACGCTGCTCAAGGGTAGAGGCAGAGCGGCAGAACAAACACATCAGTCTTTTAAAGTAGCTTTAAAACAACCCACCAAAGTTTCCCCTCGAAATTCCAAACCAGCTGCCAAAAATGAAAGCATATAAAAAGATGCCACGCGCTCTCGGCCTCCCGGAGGTGGCGCTATGACGGTGACGGAGTTAATTAGTGCCTGCAAAGCGCCGCGTGTGAGCTCATCCAAGAAGTCATGCTCTGCACACATATTATTTATAGCCGATCTGAGGCGTGCACGATGTTTGACATTTTCCTTCTTCTTAAGTAGGGGGACTTCAAAAAGTCGAGGGCACCCTCCCCCACCCCCCCACCGACCCGCAGGCAAAGTGCAGTAGGCAGGCTCCAGCGTGCGGGCGGCAGGTGAAAGCGCCAACCACTCGTGTCCCGGCGCAGGTGCCGGGGGCGGCGGCGGCCACTCCGCAGCGTCCGCTCGGGAGGAGAGTTCGCGGTTGATCTCGGGATGCCTTGCAGATGCAAAATGTGTCTCTGGCCAGCAGGAGGAAGGAAGAGGAAGTGAGAGCAGCGGCAGCCGGCGGCGCAGCAGCCGGCGGATCCCCAGTGTAAGTGCGTGTGCGCGGGCGAGGATGGGCACGGGATAGAGGCAGAGCCACCCACACCGCCGCGGCCCTGAGCTGGGGGACAGAGCCTCTGGCCCCCTTTCAGTCGTCACGGGTCGCCAGAGCTCTGGTCGCGGAGAATCCTCGCCGCCACCGCCGCTGTCCTGCGACCCCGGGCAGGTTCGTAAAGTTTCCTGGGCTGGCGCCGCGCCCCGACTCGCTGACCTCAGCGCGGCCGGGGAGGGAGCTAGGGCTGGGGTACCGGAGTAGGCGCCCTGCTCTGGGGAGGGGGGGGGGACTCCGGGCGCCGCGGAGACACTTTTGTTTCCTCCCTTGGGGCGCCGGGGCTGGAGCGGGGGTGGCCGCGGCGCTCTGGGGGGCGAGGGCTGCGGGCGCTCCCGGGCGCTCCGCAGTTGGGGAAGTCTGGGCAGAGCCGGGCGGCGGGTGTGGGAGTGGGAGCGGAGCGAGCGGGCGCGGGAGATGGAGCGCAGGGCCCCGGGCCCCGGAACCCGCGGAGAGGATTTGGCCGGGGCCGGCTGGTCGGGGCTGCCAGAGGACAGTGCTGCTGGCGCCGGGGGACTGGGGACCGGAGAGTGTGGGATTCGGGGGTTGGAGACCCGAGAGGCTGCGCGGGAGAAGGGACTGGCGGCTCCGGCTCTGGCTTTTCTCCGGCACTGGCAGATGGGAGGGAATCCCTCGGCCAGCGCGCTCCTGGGAGGGGACAGCGATGGGCTAGAGGGATGGAGGGCCCGGAGGGGCGGGAGGGAGCGGTTGGGGCGGCTGGGACCCTCGGGAGAGACAGTAAATACCCGCCTCCTGGAGACCTGCTGGGGTCCCCGGCTAGGACCGGGAACGACGGCGGGGGAGGGGGGCTTCGATGGGAGATCCCGGCATGGAGGGGTGGGGCACACGGCGCGCCTTCCGAGAAGGGGGCAGTGGAGCTCTGGGGGTCCTGGAATCCGAGCTGCGAGCGGCGGCGGAGATCGCAAGAGCAGCTTTGAGGAAGAGGAAATACAGAAGTCAGCCGGCCCGGGGGTGCGCGCGTGTGTTTGGGGTTGGGAAGTCCGTGTTGTGTCGCGGGCGCGCGCGAGGGCGGCGAGCGTGTGAGCGAGTGAGCGTGTGCGTGTGTGTGTGTTTGTGTGTGTGTGACCGCGAGGGGCTCCAGAGCTGGGGACTTCCCGCCATGTGACCCTCTCCCGCTTGGGGGCCGTTTGAAGTTGGCAGCTCCGGGCAGAGGTTGTTGGCGGTCGGACCTGCGTTGACCTAAAGCTGCAGGGCTTGGCCTCCCTCAGTGACCTGGCCCCGGGGGCCTCTGGACAGCTCCTGGGACTCACTGAGCGTATTTTGTGATGCCCTGTGCCTCGCACCATGGTCCTGCTAACACTAATTCTTCGTATTCAACACTTCAGAGAAGCTAAGACAAGGGTTTCTGCCTCAAGAAGCAGAGGCGGCAGGCTCCCGGTTTAGCGCTGCCCCTGACTTGGGGGTGGGTGGAGGAGGTGGGGCAATGGAAGAATTTAGGTTTTTGTTTGTTTGTTTATAAAATAAAAGTAATTAATGATCTGTACTTATGCATTAACTCTTTGAGGATTAACTTTGGTAACTAGAAGGACATAACCCGCTCAGGTTCACTTTTAGATCAGAAAGGCTGGCCGCAGCTACTATTAAGGGCGTCTCCCTACCTACTTCTCAAGGTTATTTCAAGGATTATCCTCCCCCAGTTTACAGAACCTCAGAAGCCCAGATCTCCTGCTGTCATGTGGCAGGCTTTTTTTTTTTTTTTTTTTTTTAGAGTTGCCCTTCTGAACCTCTGCTCTTTACCATGGTACATTTCCTCTCTCTTGACGGCTGTGGTTAAATGTTGCCTTTTTTCCTACTTCATTACTCAGATTTTTTTCTTCTTTTTTAAATTAGATGGACTGGTTGTCTAATTGGGAAATTGTGAGGGAATGACCTGGAGTGTTGGAACTCTGCCTGGGGGGGGAGGGGGGTGCATTGGTCAGGAGGGAAGGGAACTGGGGAAGAAGCTTGGTAGATATCAGGGCAAAGGAGGTTGTCAAGCAGGCCCAGGCCTGGGTCTTGTGGAATCCAGGAGCAGGCATTGGGCTACAGGGTGGGTGGTGTTATTAATGGTCTTATCTCCACCCCCACTCCCATGTCTTATATTTCTGCCTTTTTTTTTTAAGATTTATTTATTTATTTTAGAGAGAAAGAGTGCAGGAGGGAGGGGCAGAGAGAGAGGGAGCGAGAGAATCTCAGACTCCGCACTGAGTGGAGAGCCCAAGGTGGGGCTCCATCCCACAACCCTGAGATCATGACCTGAGCCCAAACCAATAGATGCTTAACAAAGTGAGTTACCCCGGTGCCCCTCTTGCTTTTAATTGCAGCCATTCTGACCACCTTCCATTCTTCTTTTTCACCAACTTCTCTCCCCAGGGCCTTTGCACAAGTTACTCCTTTTGCACAAAGAACTTTTCCCAACAAGTCCAGATGGCTCACTGCCTTGCTCACTTCAGGTCTCCACCTAGTTGTCAGCTTACAGGCAACCTTTCCTGATTACCTCATGTAAAATAGCAACCAGCCCCTCTCTGGTCCTTTTAAGTTACTCAGTTTTCCCCCTTAGCACATATTACCCCCTGGCATTATTTTATTTGTTTGTCTTTATTTGATTTGTTTATTTGATTATGTCTGTTTCCCCCATTAGGACGGAAGTTCCATGAGGGCAGGGACCTTGTCTTGTGTCTAGGTCCAGAACCTAGACTGATTCCCAGCAGAATAGGTGCTCAATAAATACTTGCTGATGGACTGAATAAGAGATGCATATTATGGGAAATATACCAGGAAAATATTGCAGTATCAGTGGCAAGTGAACCCAGGTAACAGGCTTTTTTTTTTTTTTCCTTTGTCCTTCTCACCATGCCCAGCCGCTCCTCTTGCAGACCCTTTTGTGCTTGAGCCGACTCAGAATTTCAGCCTGAAGAAAGGAACAGAGAGGTGATTCCTTGGGAGAGTGGAAAACCAGTACAACTTACTGATAGCACATAACCACTTCAGATCTGGTATTTGTTTATCATATTCCTTGGAGAAAGTCTTTTCAAAACATGTGTTGCTTTAGCCAAAGAAATACTCCCCTAGGAAAAAGAGCATAACTGTGCATGGATTGAAGTCAGAGATAGCCACTCTATCCCGCTTGCCTCCCGGAAGATGGAGGTGAAGGCAGAGGGGGAGAAGGGGTAAGGGAGGAAGGACAGGGAGGCAGAAAGAGACAGGGAGGCAGAAAGAAACTGGGTGGCAGATGCAGGGGAGAAGAGAAATGAGAAATGTCTAGGAAAAGAAAAATAAGAGAGATAACAGATGAGAGGTTTTTATAGTGCTTCTAAATCATAAGCATTTATGAAATTACAGTATTGAGATAGGACAATACTTAAGTGTTTTAAAGTAATTTACCCCCTTTGAGTGTTTGGTGTGAATGGGTGGGGAGAGGTGGAGGAAGGGAGTCCTTTGAAGTCCTTGCAGAGAGGATGTGGCTGGGGCTGTGCCAAGGGGCTCTATGGAGTGCACACTTTGCTTACCTTATCATTTTTCTTAACAAGAAGGTTTAGTTTAGAGCTAATCATTCCTATGGAGGACATTTCCTGTCCCGATCTAAGACAATGCCTACCCTTAAGGTTTGTTTCTGAAGCCTGCAACCACTTTTTAATGCCTGAAACCATCCAAGTGGGTAGCTTGGTTTTTCAGGCCTTCATTTTGTTGAATTGGGAAAAGGTGGGGAATTACTAAACGCTCTCTGCATCACAAAGCCTCATGTGTTGCTGCTAATTACACAACTCCAGTTCTGCTTCCTTCTTGTCAACTAGTCTGTCTGGTGTTTTTGAAGTTTAGGCTTGCAATCCAGGAGTAGACTGGAGTATCAATTTATCAGGTCCAAACCAGCAGTTTAAAACATGAAGTGGAAGAAAGTACAATGGAAAAATAGGGCGTTTTACAACACAGACACTGAATCTTAAGGTCAAATGTATTGCTTAATGTGGTAAAAAAAAAAAAAAAAAGTCTCTTAATAATTCTGGAGGCGCTAGGAATCTACATTTTCAACCAGTTTGCTAGGGATTCTGATGAAAGTGGTTCACAAGGCCATACTTTAAGGAATATTTAGCTGCTCCCACCTCTTACAAAGTGCTGTTGGTTTAATCTCCTGCAAGAGCTGCTATTTACAAATGTTCAATCAGATGCAGTAAAAGCATCAGCCATGGACTTAACTTTTAAAATGCTGCTGCTGATAGAATTTGATGGTGCGCCAGGTCATGATGCCGCCATATTGGCAAAACTGGAAATCCAGGTGGTATGTTTGTCACCTAGCGACATGGAGAGGCAGCAGATTCATCTGAAATAACTCTTTAATCTTACTAAGAATAAAATGATGCAATGTACTCTTTTATGGCCAAGTTTTAGTTTAGAGCTTTGGAGGTCTTTAAGCTTTTCAGGTCTTTGGAACTTGACTCTGCTCAACTTTTCATTGTTTACACTCAGTATTCTCCGTATGCCTGTTTTAATTACTTTTGGATGTTTGCAGAGACAGTAGTCACGTTTTCTGGGGGCAGCCACTGTCGTGTACATAAGTAGATAAAACATTTTAGGTGACTTGGGCTTGGGACAGAGCAGCCAAGGAAGAGAAAGGATGAGAACTTTAGCTCTATCCGAAACACAGATATTGAAGACCAACCATCCAGGCGACAGAGTGTGACTACCATGAAAACCTTTGACTAGGTCTAGCACCACGTTATCAGGGACAGCAAAGCCACCCCTGCGTGCATCCTACACACATGGGTTGCAGTTTGCAATCCCCCCGATGATTTAGGTTGTCTGAGTGTTAACTATTAGAACTCATTTATGAGAGCCAGCGCTGAAGCCCGAAGAACACTGTTAGGATCCAGGATTAAGTTAACTGTGTTTTCCACACTTTCCCAGGATAAGTGCAGGTACAGTTTGAGCAGAGTTCTGTCACCGGCCTAAGGTGGAGTAACAGTGAAGTATCCAGTAGGAATCTGTGTGGGAGAAGGAATGCTGGCTCATCAAACAGAATTAACCACAGCAACAACCTGGTGTAGCACTGAGTGGAGAGATTAGTCACATGTATAAATAGAAGGAGATGACGATTCTCAGTCAGTGTTCTAGGCCCCCACAAACACTGGTTTCCAGAATCTGAGCAAGATTATTATTGGAACCTCAATTTTAGGAATTGAGGCTATAGTTTTGGCTATTTTAGTTCTCACGGTTAATTCAGGGAACAGAACTTTCCTCAGTTAGAAAACGTTTACTACTTGCTGGACTCCAGGACTGCTGTGTGTCTGGTGGGTCGTGAATAGTGGTTGGAAGGCACCATGGTTCTGTAAGCCCTGACGGAGCGTTGCCCCAGAGATCTTGGAAGTCACAGGATCCATGTGAAATTTCCCTTCCTGCCTCGACAGCTGACACCCTTCTTCCTGGAATGCTGCTTTGGAAATGGTGGAGAACAGGCAGTAGAGTGTTATTATCCCGTTTTATATAGATGTGGTTTGGAGGACTGAAATGTCACAGGGATAGTTGGAGAGTATATCTGAGCCCACACCCAGCTTTTCCGACTCTTTTCCCCCTGCTGTTCCTTTCCCAGGCACCATGATGCCGGTACTGGTTATTTTCTGCCCTTGTTGATTCTCCTCCACTAGCCTGGTCTGAGGCCAGGACCCCTGTGTGGAGCTGTGCTGCAGGGCATCCAGGGAGCCCTTCACACCTGTATGCTGGTAGAAATGCCCTGGGTTGCCATGGCTCCCAGGGCGGTGTCTTATGCACTGAGGCCGAGTTTGGCCGAGTTGGTGCCTCTCTTTGGGTATCTCACTCCACAGCTAAACTTCTTAGCCTTGAGAGAGTTAGAGGATCCTTTCTTGGGGACAGCATGCCCATCACCTAAGCTCATGATATTGAAGCAGATAAGCCAGAATGGAATTCATTAATCAAAAATGAGAACAGTGTTTGCCAAGGAGAATAGACACTTACTCTTTAGCAAACACTTTTTCCCCCGCTCTGTGGATGAGTCATGGTAAAAGCAAAAGCATGGAACCAATTGGTGGTGGGAAGGGACCAAGTAGGGGGTAGGGAGTACATATAACAGAGTCTTGACTTTTGCTATTTCTCTGGGCCCATAGATTAATACCAATGAAGGGAACCAGAGACTGGAGTCTTTAACCAGGGTGGTTTCTCCCTTGGGAGATACCGAGGCTACTGATTGTGTTCATTTTCTACTTGCAGGCTATTGCCCCTTCTATGCTGACCCTTTATTTCAGGCAGCCTCAAATCTCAGCGCTCTTGATGTTTGGGGCTGGATAATTCTCTGTCGAGGGGTCTGGCTGGTGCATTGTAGGAAACTAGCTTTTTTGGCTTCTACCCTCAAGAGGCCAGTAGCAACACCCAGTCGTGATAACCAAAAAATGCCTGTGGTCCCCTCGGGGGCAAACCCGCCCCCGCCCCAGGTGACACCCTCCCCCCCAGCCATTGTTTTGTTTTCTTGCATAAGTTAAGACTAATGGTGTGCTGTCAGACAGACTGGACTTGACAGCAATATTAAGTACCCAGTTTTCTCTTTACTGCCTAATCCTTAGACCCTAATGTGGTATATTCTCATACATGTTCTTTAATTTCCTCTAGATCTTCGGATTTCCTCTGGAGCTTCCTTCCCTCCTGTGTTACCATTGTCTTCCTAACCCAGCTCAGCTGTGTTTGAATTTCCCGTGTGTTTCTTTCTGGTATGCTATGGCCGAAGAGACCCATAGCTAGTGATTTTATGTTTCAGTTTCCACACAAGGTCTAGAATCCTGGCCACTGGTTGCTGCATTAACCATAACGTCTACATAATGGGAATATGATAAATGAAATGAGGGAGGTAGTTCACGAAGCTCAGTTTGGCTCCTTCAGAGGCCTCTGTCACCAGATTAAGGCAGTGTCTGTGTGGGAATGAGTGAACAGGGTGAAAAGCCTCCCCCTTTGCTTGTACAATGGACCTTGGCTAGTTGGGTCGTAATAGATATTGATATTCCATTAGTGTGACCAGGACGTTGTACTGGTCAGGGGAAAAGCTTTCAGGTGGGTCTCTCTGTGAAGTCCTTTCCTGCTCTAGCCGTTAGATTTCTGTCCTAATCTTGCCACATTTATTTTCTTATGTAATTATCTGTCGACCTTTTATTTACCTTCGGTGTCTGGCTGCAGGAGCAGGGTAGAGCAGCATCTACTGGCTTAACTAACCTAGAAATCCCGCCGGCTGGCATACGGGCTCTGTCTCCCCAAGGCCAGCAGCCTTCTTCTAAGTCACAGCCCTAGAGCAGCCCTCCACCCTTCCTTCCGCCCTTTGTGCCTTTTTTTTTTTTTTAAAGTTTGAAATTGCATTTAGAGAGCCAGCATTTTGTGCTGTGGGGTTCTGTGGCTGAGCAGTACTGGATGAGCTATATTTTCCAGGCTGCTACACACAATTACCCTTAATTTTGAAGCGTAATGCATTTCAAAATAATATTTTTTTTTCCCCCTGTTTTCAGGCTATTTAATCCAAATACAGAGCCACAGCTGGCTTTGCCCATGGCCCTGAAAAGGCATGTGGCTTGGGAGGTAGAGCTAGTGGAAGGACTTTGGTTAGATTGCGTATTTTTGGCTGAGTGAAGAGTGAATTCCAATAACACTCAGTAAGGCTGGTTTTTTCTTGACTCCTGACCACCTTCCCCCCTTGCCCCGCCCCACCATTTTCATAGCATTTTTAGAGTGGACCCTGTGCCCTTGTTAGTCCAACACTGGGCCACTCTGTGGGAAGTGACTGAGTACTCAAAAATTCAGATTTGGGGGAAGGGGACTGATTCTTTCATACACTTACTAGTAAGCATATGTGTATGTATGTGTGAGAAAGATATGTACACACACACACACACACACACACACATATAAACCTCCATGCAGCTTTCCTAATAATGAAAAGTCTTTAAAAACAAAGAAACTTATCATATCAGCTCCTAAATCCCATTTTCTCCAGTGCTTGTCACATTTATAAGCAAGTCACTACAAATCTCATTAAATCAAAACCTTTATCCAGAAATGAATATGTTTCCGTCCTCTTTAGACTTAACTCTACTGCCAGAAAGTGACTTCAACTCATTAGGACTATTTTCTCAATTACCATCCATTCTTTAATCGAGAGTTTGGGAAATATTTGCCTGGGTTTATACAAGAGAAACACAATAAAGATTTATTTATTAATTGTAGTATATTTACAAAAAAATGTGTGGTTTACCCTTAAAATGCATATAAATGTTTTCAAATTGAAATATTGCTAGGCTTACAGCTCCCATCATAATACATTATTTACATCATTCATTCATTCATTTATTCAGCAACCATTTTGATTGCATTTTATGTTCTGTAGTCAGGGCACTTCCTGCACATTATAAGATCCACTTCATATGGGACAGTATGGGAAGGGGGGCTGTGTGGGAGACAGACCCATTAATAGGTAGTCATAAAGGAGTGTGATAAATGTAAGTGTATGTAGAGTGTTTGCAGATCACAGAAGAAAGAGTTCACAATGAAGTGACTTTGAGAAAGATCTGGAAAGCTGAGCATTAAAAGAAAGAACAAGGAATACAGCAATCAGGGTAGTCAGGAGAAAGTTTGGAAGAGGCCTTGTGTCGACTCTTCTGGGAGCTGGGCATTTGGATTGAGTGGAAAGGAATAGGGAAGGAAAATACACAATTGGAAGTCAGTGAGAAATCTAACTCCCAGGGCAACAGGGAAGGTAGATTAGAGGGTGAGGAGGAAGGACAAGGAGAGATGGAAGCCGTCAGCTCCTTCCTTCTGGGCCTACCCTAAGAAACACTCAATCTTGGTCAAATGAATAAATAAATCAAGGTGCTTGCTGTGTAAATGCAACTTAAAAACAGGTCTCTCTGCCTCTACCTTCTAGTGTGAGTAGTGGACCATTCTCTTCCTTTAATGAGACAACTTCTGGAGACCCCCTGGCTGGATGCAAGTCAAAGAGAAAGGATGTTGACATTGATGAAAAAAAAAAAAAGATTTGGGGAGCCTGGGTGGCTCAGTCGGTTAAGCGTCCGCCTTCAGCTCGGGTCATGATCCTAGGGTCCTGGGATAGAGCCCTGCATCGGGCTTCTTTCTCCGCTTGCTGTTCCCCCTACTTGTGCTCTCTCTCTCTGTCAAATGAATAAATACAATCTTTAAAAAAAAAAAAAAAGATTTGGTGGCTGATTGGATTTGGGAAGAAGGAAAAAGCAGGAGTCTTTGAGGTTTAAAGCTAAATATATACATGCTTGTCGGTGAGCGTTCAAGTATCTTTTTGACTGTACCTGTTGACCAACTTGGTGTAAGTTAATTATTATTCCTAGCCTCAATTTTCTTATCATTCAAATAGAAATAATCTAAGTCCCTACCTCTTGGAGCTGCTAAGGGCATTAAATGGAATAATGATCGGAAAGTAGGATCCCCCAAAAAAAGCAGTGCATTGGATTTGCTGAGGTTATTATTACTAATTCACTAGTTCCTATTCAGGTGTTTTATTCAAATATCTTGCTAAAATCCTTTAAAGACATGCATTTATTATTTCATCTTCTTTATGAGTTGTAAGTAGCCCAGGAAATTCCTCCTAAGATTTTTGCTAGACTGTTCGTTTGATTTATATAACTTTTCCTCAAGCACACAAAGAGGTAGACTGCTGAAATACAGGTCAGGGAAAATTACAATCGATTGTAAATTAAAAGAACTGACATAATGAATCCTGTTAGCAACCTGAGGTCCTAAAGTAAAGCTCTTGTAAATAGGTCTCTATCTCCCATTCACTTGGAACTAACCTGGGGTTTTGCTGTTTTATTTTATTATTATTTTGCCTTGTGTAGAGAGAATGGAGGTTGTTAATTGGGGCTCCTTCCCTTTCCTTGAATCCAGCTTTCTGGGGGAGGGGGGAGCTGTTTGCACTTGCCCAGCATGGATGGAAGGCCAGTGAGAAACCCCCAGTTAGTAGAGTACTCATGAAGGGGCCATTGACAGAAATTTAATTCAGTTGAACTGGGTTTCATGTGATTGTGTTACCTACTAAGGAAATTCAGTCGTTCCAATAACACTTGGTAAACGTCCCTTTTTGAATCATTTGGAACATTCGGGTAAGTGGGGGACTGTTAATATTCATTGGCAGGTGGGCGGGAGTAAAGTGTTAATCTTTCTTCTTTGATCTGAGCCTATCAACCCAATTAGAAAATACTCTGAGGATAAAACAGAAAAATAAAAGGATGACTATAGTCCTGAGTGTTAGACCCAGTATAGCTCTGTTGGCCCAGCATAATGAAGCGTACTAACTTTCCCTTTCCGAAGTGTCTCAGGTTGGACAATTCGTTTTATGGCCTCCTAAGTAGAAGCCACCTGTTTCCATTTCTGTTTATTCTTTCTGGCTACTGCCAGTTTGTTTGGGTGACTTCTCAGCTTTCTGTGCCTTCAGGAAGGTAGCAACTAGCTCACAGACTCACCAGCTCATTAAGCAGTAGCTCATGTTCCTGTCACTTGGTAATGGCTTTCATGAAGTGGATGGGAAAAAAAAACAACAACAACCTCCATACAGACATTAAACTGCTGTCAAGTATGGGTGTGCAAGAGAACTGTGCCAAACGGAAACGACTTCTCTAAACTTGTGCTTTGAAAGAGTGTAGCTTCTCTCCCATCCCCCAGCCCCGAATACTATAGTCGTGAAAAGTCCCTCATCTAATCACTATATGCAAATCTTGTTTGGTACTTGACAAATTGCACACTATTTCCAGTGTAAAATAAATTTCCTGTCACTATCTCTTCTCCAAAGAAGGGTGATAGGAATGGATTGTTCAGGGGCTAGATCGTCAACTGAGTAGCAATACCTCTACGCCATGTATTAGGATTGGTGTGTAACTCTACAGAGGATCCGGTGTTAAATAAATGTTTGAAGACACCGAAGAAGATTTATATAGTGAAAAACAGATTCATAGTAAATCACTGGAGAATTATATTCAGACCAAACTATCTATCAGTTTCACAGTAATTCAGACACATTGACTTACCTTGTACCCATTTCACAGATGAGGCTATCTGTCCGTCAGAGAGGCTGGCTGCCCAGCATCATGCAGATCCAAACTCAAAGCTCTTTTCTGCAGCACACCTAATGCTAACTCTCCTGCAGCCGAGTCCTCCTCAGTTTGTCAAATTCATTTTGCCTCAGTTGAACCTGTTAGGTTGGCACGTTGTGTTGAGTGGCCATGCTGCTTGGTGAAGAATATGCCATGAGAGCTTTGCTTCAGGAGCAAGTGAGCGAACACCGTCCAGGTCGTCACCTGGGCCAGGGCTGACTGTCAGCAAGATGGCAGAAAGAAGAGGGCAGTGGTGGTGGAGTCACTTACATTCCCAGCAGACATTGTCCCGCTGTCCTGGGAATTGTGATTATTGCAGACTTGTTTAGGGCCATTTTCAGTCATCGAATATGCTGCTAATGATTCTGGCATGTGAAAGTGCCATGAAACAGTCTGAGAATTGACCCCGGGAGCTGAGACTGTTAAGGCGCATAAAGAGGGACAAAAATATAAGAAGCCAAATCTCCAGGTTTGTTTTTATTTCAAAATATAGCTTTCAGATAACGAACAAGCTTTAGGGTAATTGTTCGTAACCAGATCAATGCAGGGCCCAGAGAAATGGCACAATGGCAGTTGTAAAATTGCTTCTTTCAGAGTCTGGGAATTGCATTATGAAGAGTTGGGCCCATGCATTTGAAGTGATAAGTGCCAAAGAAAGTATCGAGTATCCTATACAGGGGAAGGGAAACTACCCTAGAACTTTAGTCTTCAGGATACCAGAGACATTGGAGTCCTTAACTTTTAAGAGAGGGGTCGAGTGTATTTGATGGCTACCATGGGTCTGATTTTGCCTCCAGCATTTCCTTTTAAAATACTTTTTAATTCATTTGTTCATCCACAGATATGTACTGAGCACCTGCTAGGTACCATGGGGGGGTGATAGGGGACACATACGCAATGGTGAGTCCCCTTCCTATGAAAAATAGCAGACCTGTTGCTGCTTTCTTGGGCTGCTTAGGTGCTCACTAGTGGAAGAAAGGTACATTGATCAAAGGATCACACAACGGAATGTGACAGTTGTCTACGGCCATACCACCCTGAACGCGCCCGATCTCGTCTGATCTTGGAAGCTAAGCAGGGTCGGGCCTGGTTAGTACTTGGATGGGAGGAATGTGACAGTTAAGCTGGGCCCAGGGCTGGGGAAGAAAGGTGCTGATGCTGGAAGAGCCTACGGCAAGGGATTAATGTAGTCAGAGGGCTGGGAAGAGAATGGGCTTCAGTGGGGAAAGGGGAGTCTGTGCAGATGCCTGGTACGTATGTGATGAGCAGGCGTGGGGGTTGAAGGAACTGAAGAGCAGAGTGCCCAGGGCTGGGAGCACGCTGGGCCTGGAATAGACCTGGGAGGAGGGCTGGTGGGGATCAGGGGTCTGGGTCTTTATCAGGAGAGTAGTGGGAAGTCACTGGAGTATTTCACCCGAGGAGGTGATGTGATCAGATGTATGTATTGCAAAGGTCTTCCTGGCTTCAGTGTGTAAATCTTACATGATTTAAAATTGGTCACAACATGGACGCCTGGGTGGCTCAGTCAGTTAAGCGTCTGCCTTCGGCTCAGGTCACGATCCCAGAGTTCTGGGATCGAGTCCCGCATCGGGCTCCCTGCTCAGCGGGGAGCCTACTTCTCCCTCTCCCTCTGCCTGCCCCTCCCCTGCTTGTGCTCTCTCTCTCTCTGTCAAATAAATAAATAAAATCTTAAAAAAATAAAATTGGTCACAATGTGACCGCACTCTTACTGCTTTTAGAATCAAACAGTTTCTCAAAGAATCAATTCAGTCACTAGTGTCCCCTCCAGATTTTAAACAGCAGCTGAACCGAGGGATTTAGCATGGATATTGCCCCTACTTAAGGATGATACAGTACCTGGTTCTGTGGTTCTTAGACTTCTAGATGCCCAAGCGTTGCTGGGGACCCAGAAGCTGCATTTCAGTGGGTCCCTCAGGTGATCTGATGCCAATGGTCCCGCCTCCACTTTGAGAAGCATCATCCCCCAAAGTGCTAAGGAGTGAAAAAAAGAATATAAACCCTGAGGTAAAACATTCCGAGGCCACCAGTAGAGGAGGCAGCCTCTGTTCCTGCCTGGGTTTTAACTGGGACCTGTTCTCTCCGTCCTGGAGGGATTTTCTTCTAGTGCACCTGAAATGGATTCTAAATCCTCTGAGTTTCTTCTAATTTATTTCCTAATCCTTTCATATGCAGCTGTTTTCTCAGGTCTGTGACTTATTCCCTCTGTGTCTCTGATATTTCACTTTACGTTTTGTCGCCATTTTAATAAGAATCTTTTTCTGTAAGTCCCAAATGAGGTTATGGGGCGCGGAGGTGGTGGGGAAGGCCGGCCGGCTGAGGAGGGGGATGAGAAGCCCCTCCGTGGGTTTGCTTCCTCTGCCCTCCAGAGCAGGAGACTGTGTTCTGGAGTTCCGCCAGGGTGAGACCAGTCCATAGTTCCCGTAATAGGGAACTGCTTTCGGCTGTTCCCTAGAGAGTGGGGGAGCCCAGAATTCCTGCTCAGGTGCAGTCGGGTTGAAATGAACAGAAAAGCAGTCACAGAAAAGGCATCAGACAATTCAGTGGGTGAGCCGAGAGTAAAGTGCCCTGGACCCACATCTCCCTCTGGTCTCCATGACACGACTCCGTGGTCACCTCCTCTGGGAACCTTCCTTGATTTCTTTCTATCGTCTCCTAGGACACACTGAGTCCTTCTCTGTGCTGAGTAGATGGGACGTCCCAAAGGTGCATGTTCCCAGTGCCGAGCCCATAACAGACGCCCACTGAATGTTTCCAGAAAGAAGCACTATTATCCATGCATATGAGCACTGTGTCCTACAGTCCGTTTGGGAAGAGCCCTTAAAAATGGTTTCTTTGTCCCTGAGTGAGGAGCCCAAGGACACATGGTTCAGGGATGTAACTCTCATTGTACTCCGTTTTGCTGAAGACCAGCCCTGCCTGAGG